TAATAATGTTTAAATGGACGTAGAACAGGTGAGTATCAACAGAAATTACTACAGCTGGGCAGAGTACAGATCTATAGGGATTGGGAATGTTGGTTCATGAAACTTCAATTCTAATATAAGGAAACAATGCCTAATATATGACGCAGAGGAAAGAACACTGGAGACAGATAGAAAAAACCAAAGTCTACTTTGCAAAAAAAATCTTATTGATATACATTTAAAACCTACATTACTATTGATGTAGAAATCTTTATCATAGGAAACATTTCATGCGCCACCTTGTTAGACAAACGCAGAGCTAGGAAACCATGATCCTCATGGCTGAAACCAATACATCCTGAGAGAGACTGCTGTTAGGATCGATCTGCATGAGAAAGAGAATGAACAAACATGAGTGGGAGAAGCCATCCTGCAGAAACGCTCCTTTCAGTTAACACATCTATGGAGATTCTCAGTCATCCAGGTCATGGTCCAGCTTTAAAAATTCAGTTTAGGCACCTGGATCTAATGTTTTTATGAATAAGTTTCATATATTTGCCAAGGAAGAACAATGGATTCTCTAAACAGAGGAGGTGGTCTTAAACGTAACCTGTCCCCTACTTCCAAAGCTCTTTCAGGAACAATACGCAGAAGATTTGCCTCTCTCCTTCCCTCACCTGACTCATACTTCAATGAGGTATGTGATCAAGACCACACTCATGAGGTAGTTAACAAACAGTCACACCACCCTAAAACCTCCGAAGAGGACCTCCATGGCCAATCCAGTAGGATGATCAGAGCCACCGTTTGTCCCCCCCCAATTCTTTGTTATACCTAGTATATTGATCTCAGTCCTCCCCACCCCTAGTTAGAACTAAAGAAGCTTCTTGGATGAAGGGTGAAACGTCTTCTAGAAAACTTAAAGCCCAGTGGCTTAAACTGAACTTTTTAAGCTCCTATTAGTTGACCTAGTCCAAACCACCTGTATTGATGTTGTACTGAGCAACTGATAGTGGTGCTGCAACAACGTTTTCTCTTTCTTGGATAATCTTCTGTGAGTGTCCTTGGGTTGAATGCATGAGGCAGAGGATGGCATAACAACTGGGTTCTTGCTGAACCACTTCATGACAGCAAGTTTAGGGGCTCTTCCTAGCCTAGTAAACTAGCCCCACCCGCCAGCGGGCAAAATAATTTTTGCCTGTGAGTTTGGTCTAGCCTCGATCAATGCCCCAGGCCCTAGAACTGGCGGGCCAATCACAACACAGTGCGTTGTTTTGGTCCACTCTATAAAGCTTTGTAAATAAAGCTATTTCTGTTATGATTTTATCAAAAGCTCGGACCCACATGCAGAGAAACCAATTCAGAAAGACCAGGTAAAAGGTTTAACTGGTTTATTAAGGAGATAATGAAGAATCTAGTGTTGCTCTGAACACTGCTCAACCGGAACTGGAAAGTGAGGGGAAGACACTGTGGTTAGTTCAGGCTCAGCGGCAAATTTGATTCTTGAACTTGAGGAGAGGAATTAGGTTGCTGACTCACGTTTCCAGAAAAGTGGTTGACTCTTTGACTCCTGTCTGTGTACGGTAGTTCAAGTGTTTGTCTCTTTTGGTGGAGGGCGGACAGCAGGGGCGTCTCTAGGTTTAAGAGACAAGGGTGGCTCAGCCCCTAGAAGATTATGCGTGCGCGCAGCGCGCGCCGAATTTTTTCAGTGCACCTGCTAAGGCGTTGTCTAAGACAAGGGTGTAACTTTGTGTTGAAAGTTGGTGGGGACGGCTCATAAGGAAAGGGAGCTACCTGCGCAACGCCTTTTTTTTTTTTGTTGGAAAGGATAAAGCCAAAAAAATGCGAATAACATTTATCAATTTAATGCTTACAGTTGAAAACATAACTGTTACAATATTCACTTATGTATTTTGTGCAAAAAATATCACATAAATCTAAACAGACAGTACAAATCAAAGAAATCAAATAAATATATCAATTTTGTAGAACATTTATTGACAGTCAATTTTGGGTCACTTTTTAAAATTAATTTACTTTTAAACCAGGACTCGGACAAGATCTTATGGGACCTTAAGCAGAATATGATTAAGCAACTCCGTCTTTCTGTCAAGAACATCCACCAGCAGGGTATCCAGGGGGGGATTTACCATTAGGCAATACTAGGCAGTTGCCTAGGGCCCCAAGTTCTGGGGGCCCCATAAAACTCTGTTTCCATGTATGGTTAATACAACTAATCCTTATTTGTGCACATTAATTATGTTTTTGATAAAAATCCTTTGCCTAAAATGCCATCAGAACGCTGATAAATAGAGAGGAAAAAGGGACAAGGAGAGAGGGACAAAACCTAGAACAAATAATGGATGTCTATTCTATTAACATTTCTCTATCTGTACAATGGGTCTGTTTTATGGGTTTACTTCTCAGGGGCCCCCCTGCCTGTCTTTGCCTAGGGCCCCAAATTTCCTAAATCCGCCCCTGAGGGTATCAATACTGATTTGATAGAATCTGGGAGAGCGGACTATGTTCAACCATCCATTTTCTTTAACCTTATCCCTCAGTGGGATCAGGAGGTGCTGGTGCATATCTCTAGCCACGTTCTGGGTGAGAGGTGGGATCACCCTGGACAGGTCACCAGTCTGTCGCAGTATGTTCAACCAGCTTAAAAGTAATCGGTAATCAGATTTATTATTTGCACTTTTACTAAGTGAACTTTCTAACTCCCTTAAATCTGAAATTCCAATGCCAAAATTGTTTAAATCTTTTATCTTTGGACCCCCTGCAGAGTGACGTCACACCTGCAAGATCCTATCCTTACCTTCCTGCTAGATTGCAAAAAGCAGCTTGCTCATGAGTTGTCAACTTAACACGCTAAATCTTAAATGTACGTGTACATATAAAAGAAAAAGGGGCGCAGTGCTTGCTACTGAATGGCAACACTATCAAAGTCAGGAAAAAGTTTTAAGTAAAGCCGGGATTAAAACAGTAGCTACAAGAAGCTTCAAATAAAAGGTGTTCTTTATGTTCGACCTAAACACCAACCCCGATAGACCATCAGTAGAGCAGCTGCTTAAATTAATCAATCACTGCTGCGAAAGCTTATAGCAGTGAAAGCTAATATACCACAGCCATCACTTAATAAACGCAAAATAATCAACCCTCTAAAAACGGAAAACTGTAATGGACTGAAAGTCCTGTTTTTTATGTGGGAAATTATTTGCGTGTGTTTTAGTATAATTCTGATATATTGGCGCTGTTGTCTGTTTCTATGGCAACGATACTGAATGTAGTGTAGCTTAGAGACCTGCATGGGTCGAGTTTTACCAACCCGCACCCGCCTGAACCCGTTAGGATGACTACCAAACCCGACCCGTCACCCGCGGATATCTTCAATTCAAATGTTATGGGGAGAGGTTGGAGGGGGGTGATGGGGAGAAAGCGAGAGGCAACAGATTCTTTTTTCTGAGTTTTTTTTGTCGGGGTTTGTGGACGGTGAGCAGCGGGGAGAACTTTTTTTATTTTCTTTCTGAGGAGCGGCATGAATGGGGTTTTAATCAGATATACACAGCACCGAAAGCAAAATACGTGTACAAAATATTGGTGGGGACATGTCCACACCAGTCCTTAAGGAAGTTACGCCTATGATTGTTCAGATTAACTTGTCTTCTTTATGGCTTTTATTCGGTGCTTTACTGCATTTGTTTTGGGAAAATATGAGGAAAAAATAAATACAGAAAAAAAATATATATTTTTTAAAATCGCAAAATAATTATAGGGTGGCTAATGCCAAAGAAAGGGTGGCTGAAGCCACCCTTAAATAGGTCTAACGAAGCTTATGGCGGACAGGGTTTACCCAGAATGTGGTTGTTTGTAGGTGAACGGAGAAACTGACTGCCACTTGGATTTCCTGCGGTACTTAAAGGGGTTGGTGTGGAGATGAATCCTTTGCTCAGTGTGAAGCTCAAACGATCCCTTGGAGGAAAGTGGATCCAAACCTCCTGTTTGAATCCCCAGCTCAGTTTGAAGCTCAGATGATCCTTCCAGGGAGAGAAGGTCCGAAAACATCCAGTTTGCAGGATGACTTCCTGCCGAGAGGCAAAGACAAAATAACTGGGTTAGGACTCTGGTTGACAAAACTCAGTTGGACTCCGTCAGTCCTCCGTTAATGAGGTAACCCTCCTCAGGTGTGTGAGGAGGCGGACCAGAATCAGGGGCATCCTGGTGGAGGAAGGGAGACAAACCACAAAGACAGGAATCCTAACAATTTCTGACATTTTAAATGTAAAAAGCTTGCTGGATGGGAAGCAAAACATCTTCAAACTTGGAAACAAAGTCCAGAGGATTGCTTTTTAACTTGTTTGGTATGTCCTATGCACACCTCTACAGAAAAAATAAAAATAAAAACAAGTGGGTACTGTCTGAACATGTTTTTCTATTGTATTTGGGATTGTATCCCACCTTTTGAGAAATAAGAATTTATAAAACAAATTCATCTAATAAATTATACAAAGAACAATGACAACAGCAGCTGTGAATAAAAAAGGTGTGATCCATTAAGCATGGAGTTACTGTGTCGGAGCTATGAGAGGCTCAGAAGCTTTAAAGGAAAATCAGAGTCCTGCTTATATACCAGCTGACTGACAGCTTGTCCTCACAGAGGCAGCTGAATTTTTTTTTTTAAGTCATCTTATGTGCTGGCAGGGCCAGCTGTCCTATCCAAGCTACTGTATGTCTCTCCTCTTGCCTAGCAGCAGGAATGCAACATGGTTGGACGAACCATCACTATCTAACATGGTGATGCTGCCACAGTGTGGCTGAATATCACAAATGCAGCATAGAGAGTAAATCAATTTCAAGTGTTCATTTTCTCCATGCTCACACATTTCTAAACACTTCTGCTCTCATTTGCTTCATCCTCTAACATCCTAAGAGAAAGCATTACATTTTACACCGTCTATCAAAGCCTGTTGCAAAGAAGGAGCTCAGTGCAGGAGAGAAATGACAAACTTATGAAGTTACTGATTAACATGTGTCTTAAGACAGCTAGCATTATGGTATGCCCTTGCAACCTTTGCCCAGAAACTGTTTTTATTATTTCAATAAGGTGGGGAAGAGGAATACTGAAACATAAGTCACAAGTTGCTGGCTCTGTTTCATTGGGAAACTTCTTCTACACGGGTAAGCTTTCTGTTTAAATGCTTCTTTAGTTTCTTAACTAGGTTTGTGTTAAATACCCAGTGGCAATCTTTAAAATTATCTAGACAAATATTTAGCTGTTTTATACATAGAAGCTAAATGTTGTGGTGTGACATTTTGTACAACTTTTGTTAGTAAAAGGGAAACTCAGCAAAATTTGCACTGATTGCTGATTTAAAGTCAACAAGTTTGATTTAAAGTCAACAACTTTTGGGCCTATTTCCAATCATCATGTGACTGTGTAGGAGGAAAAGGCTAAACAATCTTATAGGGCTCTACGCAGAGGTGTCAAGTAAAGAAGTACAAATACTTTGTTACTGTACTTAAGTATACTTTTCAGTTATCTATACTTTACTCTATTACTTATTTTTCTTCCTACTTCTGACTTCTACTCATTACATTTTCACACAAGTATCTGTACTTTCTATTCCTTAAATTTTTAAAACAATCGTTACTCAATATTCTTGGCTTGGGTTTAATGTTTATAAATATTTATTTCACGTCATGTGCGCCATCCAAAGCAGATCATTGGCGCCATCCATGCCATGCTACAATGTCGGATTCAGAAAAAGATGTTGAAGTTTCTGAAAGGTCGGACACAGGCGAGAGCGTATCGGGAGATGGAGACGGAGACCTACAAGACCTCCCTCATCCATGGCCCTATCTCAAAGAATTTTTCCAAATAGTCGAAAAATTTAGTTTTTAATTCATATAGTGGCATCTCGCAGTTTTTTTTCAAAGAGTACTTTATACTTTTATACTTTAAGTAGTTTTTGGAGCACATACTTTTTCACTTTTACTTCAGTAAAGAGGTCAAGTTGATACTTCAACTTTTACCAGAGTGTTTTTAAACTTCAGTATCTAAAAATCCTATCTTAAAATCTGGGGGGTTTTCATTTTCTTATGCAGGCCAGTTAGCTATGCGTTAGCTTGTACACCTAAATTCGGGCAATCATATATCAACGGTCATCTGTCAATCTAACAGAACTGGCAGCGTTGCGAGGCAAGGGCTCAAACATGTACGGCTGTAAGCCTTCTACACCAAACCAAGCTTCTGCCGCCCTGGCGTCCTCTTCCACAACATCTTCGTCCTCACTTTCCTCCTCTAAATAAAAAATGTATGACGGAGGAGACTCATCCATGACCTCCGACAAAAAAGTCCTCTTGCATGTTTCTGCTGTCCATAGCATTTCTTGACAGTGTCGTTCCTAAGTGCTACTTGGTCCCAATGTAATTTCACATTGTGAACCTACTAGCACTAAGTTGCTAAATGGCTAGCAAGATGCTTCTGAGTCTCCAGCCATAATCAAACTTGGTTTCGAACCTTCCGCCTCAACAATCCCACCCCCTCGATCTATCACATTCACTTTATTCACTACTGTAAAGTTGGGCACCACTCGGGAGAATTCTGAACTGCAACCATTGGAACAGCCACTTCCCTACAACTTTAAATCTCGTAGATACAATACTTCACAAGAACAGAGAAATTGGGTCTTTACTCAAGGTAGAACAGAGAAGAATAAATGCCTTTCTGGCCAGGACAAAAGAAGTCAGGAGCAAAACTTCCAGGACGTCTTTATAGACCTCTCCCACTACAGAGCCTTAAATATTGGTGAGATAATCAGGTAAATTGAACACAGCTGTTATTGCTTGAAAGTCAGGGATCTGGAAAGCTATACCCAATAAAAATATTTAGATAAAAACAGAATGAAGCCATTCTTACTCGCAAAAATCTTAAAACCATGACACTTTCACCACTGTGCTTCACAGTTGGCTTGAGCTTTTCTGGAATGCTGTACTTGGTTTGCTATGAAATGTCATCTGTTTTGTTAGATGATCGAATTATGTCCTCTAAGAGCATCAATCAATCAATCAATCAATCAATCAATCAATCAGTCAGTCAATCAATCAATCGTCTTTATTTCTATACAAATATTAAAACCACAGGGGAGGCCAAAGGATTCTACATAAAATAAGAAGAAGTTAGGAAAACATGGATAGATTAAAAATAGACATGATAACCAGGTTCATAACAGATGTAGCGCCAATAAAAAAACTAGATAACAATGTTAAAAACCAAGTAGTGAAAATGTGTACTTCTAAAGAGATTTAAAAACAGAAATATAGGCAGCCTGTCAGACATTTAGGGGTAGATTATTGCTTAATGTTGGCGCTTCAGCCTAGTTTTAGTCTCAGCCAATTAATCTATTAATCAAGCCAGCGACTGAGGCCCCGTCCACACGAAGTGAAACCCTGGCCTAAACACACAAATTTTTCACTAAACCAGCCTCTCATCCACACGAAGCCGGCGTTTCGGGGGTCTGTAAACGATCTTTTTTTTATTAAGCCTTCAGAGTGGGAAAATTTTGAAACGCCGTTTTCGCGTTTCCATCTTTAAGCTCTCACCGCATTTTTTTTCTTACACGCATGCGTCATAGCGTCGCCTCTAAACACGCATGCGCGACCAGTATCACAACAACAATGGCGCCGTTGCTGCTAATGCTACTCACCCTGCTGTCGGGCTTACAACAGAATCTTCTTCTTCTGGAATATCTCCAGGAAGAACAGAGCAATACAGACAACATAGTTCAGCACCTGAATTTGACTGAACCACGAAAATGGACCCGCAGGGCAACCATGTATAAATATTAGTGCGCATGCCCAACATTTCGTCGCCTATTTTTGCTTCGGCACCACAGCGCCACTTAACGGCCTGACATACATTTTGCAGCGTTTTCATGCATTCGTGTGGACGATCACATTTATTTTACGTCTCCGTCTTTACGACAAACGTTCTGGAAAATATTAGCGTTTCGTGTTCGTTTTGACTTCGTGTGGACGGGGCCTGAAATTTTATCTATAAAGCACTTTACACATTAAAGGGCTTCACACAGATTAACGAAACCGCAAAAAAAAGCAGAAAAGAGAGAAAAAAACATCCCAAATAAAACAGAGTAAGAGCAGCTAAAACAATAAAGTAAGACGATGTATTAAAGTATATATATCTGCTCAACTGGAATTAAAAGTAAGGTTTACAAGATGACTCTAAGTAGATATTTACAATAATTTTGAGTGATGTAACATACCCTGCAAAGATCTAAACTAGGAAGATATAAAAGCAGAAGTTGTTCAGGCCTCCATGTATTTTGACTTTGGCTAACTAAATGTTTAATAATAAGGTCTAATCCCTATGTTTTCTTAGTAAAACATGTCCCCCTTGCACACAGTTAGTAAGAAAAAAAGCTTTTTATGTCCCTTTCTGATTGTAGAAAAATATTGACAGATCTAGCCCTTATTACGTATATTTTACAAGCTAAAGGTAGGCTGGTTGACAAAAATATCTCTTTATCCCTTACTAGAGTCATAAGCAGCTCCAGTCTTCGCTCTGAACCATAGTGTTCATCGTCTCTTCAAAAGTCTGTTGAATTTTTCATTTTAAATTGTTTGTATATTACTAATATACACTCAATATACATCAATATATTAATAATAAAGATGGTACAGAATGCATGCCCCCTTAGGAACCAGAATATGTGTCTTGGAGTATAGAAGTGTAAAAATGTGTCTGTGCACTCAGAACAGCAACAGCTAACTGGTCACCCCCTTTAAAAATGTTACACTGGTTACACCACTGCACAAAAGAGGTATTTGTGCAAAGCCAGGGAATGATTTAAACATATTTGGGGTGTTAGAAATAACAATGGATGAATGATACTAATAAAAATGTCCGTGCAGGTGGGCACAAATTAATGAGGGGGGACAGCTGACAATCTTTATATAGTAAAACTAAAATGAGAATAATTACTGAAACTAAATATTGGTGGTAGCTTTGTAAAGAAGAAAAATACAAAATCAAAAAAGACTGCAGTGATTTAAGACATTATTGTTGACCTTATTGTTTATGTTTGTTCATAGCACCTTTATGTAAACTGCTCTATAAATATTTATTAGTATTTTGATTCTTATTTTTAAAAGAACTTTTCCTATAACCATCTCTATGGCTTAGAACCTCCTCTTTCTTGAATAACAACTCTCATAATGCCTGTAGAACACATAGTCTTCTCATTTTAATGGCTGGAACCACCTTAACATTTATACAGCAATCTTTATGGATTGTTGCACAATGCCCACTCGCACTAAAACAATACTAATTTAGCGCCTGTTATTCTGGATCTTTTAAGGTTAGCCCCTTATTATACCCATTCTTAGTGGGATCGATTTCTTCCTTGCCAGAATCTGCAATTTTCTATCATGTTACTGATTAAAAAAAAATAAAATTTTATTGATGTTTTGAGCTATATAAAGGGATATTAAATATCAAATAATGTTCTTTCCAAATGTTCTTTCTGCCACTATATGAAGTCACAAGGTGTTTTCCGGACTTTACAAACCACCTATAGGGTTTTAGGGTATTTTTTCAAACCCAAAGACCAGTTTTCTTTATTATAATCCATTTTTGTAGTTTTTTAAAAACTGTTCATTGGGTGAACAATTTTTGTTAGATGTGTAACCCTTAATTTGTTAAATTGTGTTCTGGATATCACATTCAATCTAGTTGCATTTTCCAATCCAAACAATTTTCTAGCTTTGGATCTGGACAAGAGAGAAAATGGCTCAATGGATGAGATGTGTCTTGATCTTTCTAAGCATGGTTTTCTTCTCAAATGCTCGTTCTGTTGATATATTCAAAGTCCAGAACCTGAGAGGTTCCCAGAGACATCTTCTGATGGAGACAGCGCATACCACTTCAATCAATAAAACAAGTGAGTTACAAAATACTCATGTCATCCTTAAGTCATATGATATGTTTGAGGGCAGTGATGCAGTTTGGTGTTAGTTTGATACAGTTCAGTTTTATTGTTGGTCAACATTAGCAGACTCCACCAGCGCGGGAACAGAATCCATACAATGGTCCTATCTGGCAGCAGGACTGGGCACAATCCTCACCCTCTCCCTCCTCGTTGTGATGGCGGTGAAGTTTCGTCTCTTCCACCGCTTCCTGGCCAGCTACAGGCACTCCCTGCTGCAGGAAACCGATGGGGCCAGCCAGTACGGTCAGGAGGACAACTCATACCCCAACGTGTCGGGTCAAATGTCAGTGGTGGGAGGCACTGGGAGGGGGATGGAGGACGACGATGATGGCTTCATTGAGGATAACTACATCCAAACCAACGAGAAAAGCAGGGCTGAGAGGGGAACCCGGGATGAGCTGGAGTTGGAAGACAGCGATGATGATGATGTGCAGTTCACCATTGGGTGATCATGAACAGATTTACAAAAAGGAAAAAAAAAGTCTTGTTTACTAGTAAAATTACCTATTTTTCATGGCTTACTTCTTTTTTACAAAGAATTTGATTTGACTCTAATATGTCTTTTTGATCCAAACACAAGTTGCAACATGGTATGAATGTTTTAACTTTGCTGTCTGAAACAAGCAGCTCATCAAAAAATGATTCTGTGTAGTTATACCAAAACACAAATAATCAGACAGAAAATTCCCCCAGACTGGGAAGAGCTGATTTGACTGTTTATATGGCAAACAGTCAACACGTCTGCTGGGTAAGGGATGTAAAATCTGGTTAAAAGGATCCTGAGCTTGCAGTTTTTGCATTCCTTATACGTACTTTGACCTCTGATCGTACTTTTTATTTTGAGCACCTAATGTTTCCCATTGTTTACTCTGTTGAAATGACTTTTATATGAAGATGTTTTCAACTTCACCTTGAAGAATGCAGTTTTCTATGACTGTTGTATCAAGAAAAAAAAATTAGACACACACAAGGTGATTTTGTTTATATATTGTAAAAAATAAACACATATTCTCACTGATCACATGTACTGTCTGGCAAATTTTGTTTATAAAAGGTTTTATCTAATTTCCATTCTGAATTAATTCCATTATTTACATAAATCTGAATGATTATGTTTTCAATCAGAAGAACTCACTAAACCCAATTGATGTGGTGGTGTTTATTTCATTGGGTTTTCCGTCAGGAAGTTATAGGAAATAATCTTTCCTTTCAGGTTCAGAGATGAATTCAATTTAAAATAAAATCTACCAAAACAACATATTCCATAATGTTTTATATCAAACAATTAAATTTAATTACATTTTTTATTGAGAAAGAATGAAGATCATTCAACAGGTTGTTGAATTCTGCATTTTATTTAAGTTCAGATTATCAATACACATTTTCTTATGTTCTGTTTTTAGACCAAAATATGGTCAAGTATGTATTGTACCTTTAAGTAGCTGTTTTCTATAGGAATTTTCCTACTTATACATTATTGTAAATACTCTTACTGTATGCCTCTTAAGGTCAAACTACAGCATTTTATTCTAGTTGAGATCTGGGACATTGCACTACTATGATTTTTCTCTTTTCCAGCTATCCTGCTTTAGTTTCACAGCTCTGTTTGCAGACACGGCTCTGCTGTTTACCAGTTTTTAAGCCAAGCTTCAGGTTTCTGACACCGGGCCCATATTTTGGTTAAAAATACTTTGGATAACAAAGAATTTCGTGGTTTACTTTAGTGCTGCACTGTTCCCCTATAAGATGACAAAACTAGCCCAGATCATTAGCCTTTCACAGCCGTCCCTACAGCCGGAACAAAGTGTTTGTTTCATGGCTTTGTTTATTGTGAAACATCTTTATTCATCCATGACAAGCATGTCAAATTCAAAATATGTCATTTTGCATGAGGTTCCAAGTGAAGCTTGTCAAAAGCCTTTTCTGCATCTAATAAAACAATATGCTGATGAAGGTTCTCAGTCATCCAGGTCATAGTCATTCCATAAAAGTTCAAAAACTATCCACTGGACTTGGTTTCCAAGATTTGAAGACATTTCGCCACCTCTCCAGGAAGCTTTCTCAATTGAAATGGAACCAAACGACCAACTCATCGGTTGCCATTTGCAGGTTTCCAAGCGATGCAAGGCTTTGTCTATATAAGACTCAAACTCACTGCGGATCCAGACATTTGAAGTGAGATTTAGTATTATAGTCTAATATTGCAATGACGGCAGTTATTGTTTCCATCATTACTGATCTTCAAGGTGTAATGCAGGAAATCACTGCGACCCTTTGGGAGGGTGATAATTGAAACACTGATATGGAAATGAAGGTTGGGATTCCATTTCTTGTGCCGCTTTAGTCCATTTGATTAAAGCCCTTGGCTGCTACTTCTCCTCTCAAACCTGGTTAAACCAACTAAACTGTACCTTCAGACAAACGTTGCGTTCAGTTTGTTGAATAATTGTTGCATGAAATCTGTTTTGGGTTATTCAACATTTGAGGTTAGATTTCTATCTTTCTAAAATCTTTACAAACAGTTTTCTTGTTAATGGCATCAAGATTAAAATCCCTGTCTTTAATACAGGTTGTAAAACCTTACATCTAAAAATACCCACATTTATAGAAACTAGGCCTCCAGGGGGGCCAAAGGGGGGTGATTTCCCCTATATTGAGTTACTTCTTAACTGCTGTCAGTATTCTGTTATTTTGCATAAGGAATCAATGAGACTTTTAATGTGATTCTCCGCTTTAATAATTTCCCTTCAGCTAAATAAAATTTTACAATTTTATCAAGACAGTTTTCTTTTTCTCTATGCAGTTTTTTTTTTCTCATTCAGACCTTTCAGATCAGACTTGTCCTGCTGGTGGAAGTGTCCCTCCTGATTTGACTCATCTGCCGAGGAGAAACGCTGAACACTCGGACAGCCTGGCTCCCCAGCCTCCTCGCTCTACTGATTCTCAACCTCCTCCTCATCCTCTGCTCCCTTCTCCTCTTCAGATACGTCATCACGCTGTACCCCACTACTGCCAGACCCATGCCTCCACCAGCAGCCATGAGTGCTGCCCCAGACACCAACATCTCTCTGCTGTCGTGACTGCGGCTCCCTGCTGTGGCCACACAGAGCAGCACGGTCCCACACAGAATCACTGACAGACCAACGGCAAAGATCAGTGGTGGGTCGGCCCTCCCTCCGCTCCGCAGCTGTTCGATCTGACGTCGGCTGTGGACACAGTTCATGTCCTGGATGGCGGAGCTCAGAAGCTGCTTGAGTAAAAGAGCAAGGGCCAGGAGGCAGAGTGTGGTTCCCACCCCAAGACGCCACTCCACAGACAGGCTGTTGGTAGTAGAGAGAAGTCCCACTCCCCCAAGGCCGAGTCCCATTATGAGGGCCACTGAGGCACAGTAGCAGATTAGGGACTTTCTTGGCTCCCGGAACCACCAGAATTGCACATGGTCCTGCAGGATATGCTGCTGTGTTTCAAAGGGATCCAGGTAGAGGCTTGGAGGCCGACGCATGCTGTAGTAGAGGGTCTCCATCTCAGGCATTGCATCCCAGTCAGTCAGATACTAAATCAATACAATACAAAGCTTAAAGAACCGGGAAAATTCAATTCATGAAAATAAAATTTAAATCAACATACTTACAGCTGCATGAGAATCATGTGTCTCCCTTTCCTCTGCATCTGTATTTAGAACTGAACAGACTGGAAAACTCCTCAGCTGCTATGTTTTGGTTCATTCCTTACATGAGATTATTCTCATCTGAAGTTAGAATAATTCTCCCTAAAAGAAGAAGTTCCTGCAGTCCTGTAGCCTTCTCTCCTTGAACCAAAGCTCCAGGTTCAAGGAGATCAAGCTGGATGTAAAGAATCCTGATCCGGGATGAAGGCAGAAGAGGATCCAGCAGAGCAGAGGCACAGACTAACAACATGAATCTGCTTCTATGTAAAGAAGTAGCAGCGATATTTACGTAATCCCAGTAACTGACTGCCCTTGAAGGTTTCCATCATCGCTCTGACTTTACTGATGTCACAGATCAATACTCTTGGCTTTAAAGTCTCCACCCCAGTGCCAGGCGGACCCTAACCCGCCCTCTCAGACCTTCACACAGCAGCCCCATCTTGTCTGGTTGAGTGGGAAAAAGACAGGTCACAACAGCACTGTTGGATCATGTTTGGACCCAGAGATTGGTGACATTGTCCATTTTGCTCCAACAGATGCAATGTGCTGAGTATAACACAAAGACTGCCCTACAGAAGGCAGGCGGGGGGGTGTGGGGCCATGGAGGGGTCCTGGGTTAGTGCTGCAGGAGAACTGGGTGATGTCAGTGAGAAGTAATAATGGTGTGACTGTGATCCTAAGGATGCCGTCATTCACACACTCAGCTGGACTCACAAACAGCACAAGTTGTGATGGTAACCTCTGCGCCAGTACAAATAGCATTTATTTTTTTAAATAACACCTTTTCCCTGTTCAGATGATTGTAGATGGAGACTCTAAGAGTATTAAAACATTTAGACTTTTAAAGTTTTGTTCTCCATAGAGTAACACAAACATAATCATCTTATCTAATATATCAGTTTCGCTTTTCTTGTCAATTAACTGAATTCCTATTTCAGAATCAGATCAGAAATACTTTAATAATTCCAGAGGGAAATAACTTTTGTCACAAAATCCAGTTACAGTTTTATATTTTTCTGTACAAATATAATAGGCTTGAAAGAAATATTCTGCCCACTTTCATTATGTTACCACACTTTAAATAATTAATCTCTAATAGGACATTATTCTATAATTAATTCTACAATTATTCCTCTTGTAGAACTGTTCATACGATACAACTGCAAGTTGCTACTGGCAGAGATTTGATCTTGTCTTGTTGCATCTTGGCTCTGTTGATCATTTTTATGATTCTCTTATCGGGGAAAGACCAGTGTGAAGTATTCCACGATTTTGACTTTTTTTCCTTTTTGGCTGCTTTCTGCAAATGAAGTTGATTTGACACATACATTTAAAAAAGGAATCAAACTGACTCCAGCTCAGATGAGAGATTGAAATCTGTATTTATATTTTAACTAACAGAATGCATCACTGCTAATTGTTCAAAAGTATTACTTGTTGCCACATTTTGGGCTTGTTGTGAGGAAATGATGGATAAACTTAAGCAGAATCGGATTAATTAGTGAAATCTCATATGTAGTACTGACTTCAGACCCTTGCAGTTCATGAAGATTTTGTTGATAATAAGTAACCTGCAGGGGGCAGCAGTCTCTAAGTTTGCACAGCTGCACAGTTTGCTCTAAACAGCAGATAGCATAAAACATTAGCAATGTTGGATACTGCACAGTGTAATATTTTTACAATGGAAACGAATGTTCATGCATTCATGTAAACCAGGGGTCACCAACATGGTGCCCGCGGGCACCAAGGGGCCCTCAAGGACCACAAGGGGTGCGCTTAGAGTCTTCTGAAAATAGAACAACTCAACAGTGAGC